ACAAAAATTGCAAGGCAACACTTCCAGTGACTCGTTTTGTGTTGGCCCCACACTGTCAAAATGTCGTCAAGTTACCCGTAGCCGCCAAGACTTGCCGCGGCGATCCGTACCTGACCATCATCACGACGATGAGGGACAAAGAACATGGTCGCGACACCTGGGCGGGCGGGGCTGGTTGTAAGATTGTTTATTCAACCCCTTGGTTGGTTGACTCAGTGTCGTGTTGTACGTGATCCTGGAAACTTTGTTTTGCCGACATAACGGTTTTAGGGTCTGGTGCAAGGTTTTGGCGCCGAAAGCGGGGGACAAAAACTCGAGTTGCGAGACCGATTGGCCACCGTGTTTCAGATTTGGCCCTCAACAATTCCGGCCGGCTTTGGCCCCTCGAATTCAAGGTTTTTCGCGGGGCAAATTAACTCTGCCCTTCCATTTCTGTGCATGTGTTTACTAGTTTTGCAGTAAATCAGCCTTATGTTTATTGTTTTTTAGACACTGCCCTTGCATTTGTGTGCATTTTTCACGCTTTTTGTATTATTTCCAGTAGTTCAGCCTTATTCCAGCCTTATTTGGGCCTTATTTCGGCCTTATTTCAGCCTTATTTTTATACAAAGCAGGAATTCGCACCCCCTTCCCTTGCATTTTTGTGCAAATTTCCACTAGTTCAGCCTTATTTCAGCTCTATTTCAGCCTTATTTCGGCCTTATTTCAGCATTATTTCAGCCTTATTCTTGTACAAATCTGGAATTTACACACTTTCCTTGCATTTTTATGCACATTTGCAACTAGTTCAGCCTTATTCCAGCCTTATTTCGGCCTTATTTCAGCCTTATTTCAGCCTTATTTCAGCCTTATTTTTGGCACAAAGCTTGATTTTTGCATTTATTTCAGCCTTATCTCAGCCTTATTTCAGCCTTATTTCAGCCTTATTTCGGCCTTATTTCGGACTTATTTCAGCCTTATTCGTATACAAATCTGGAATTTACACATTTTGCGTATTTCCAGTAGTTCAGCCTTATTCCAGCCTTATTTCAGCCTTATTTCAGCTTTATTTCAGCCTTATTTCGGCCTTATTTCGGCCTTAGTTTTATACAAATCTGGAATTTACGCATTTTGCGCATATTTCCACGAGTTCAGCCTTATTCCAGCCTTATTTCAGCCTTATTTCGGCCTTATTTCGGCCTTATTTCAGCCTTATTTGTATACAAATCTGGAATTTACACATTTTGCGCATATTTCCACTAGTTCAGCCTTATTCCAGCCTTATTTCAGCCTTATTTCAGCCTTATTTCGGCCTTATTTCGGCCTTATTTCGGCCTTAGTTTTATACAAATCTGGAATTTACACTTTTTTCGCATATTTCCTTTTAGTTTTATTCCAGCCTTATTTCAGCCTTATTTCGGCCTTATTTCGGCCTTATTTCAGCCTTATTTTTATACAAATCAGGAATTTACACCACTTCCCTTGCATTTTTGTGCAAATTTGCACTAGTTCAGCGTTATTTCAGCCTTATTTCAGCCTTATTTTAGCCTTATTTCAGCCTTATTTCAGCCTTATTCTTGTACAAATCTGGAATTTACACACTTTCCTTGCGTTTTTGTGCATATTTCCTACTAGTTCAGCCTTATTTCAGCCTTATTTCGGCCTTATTTCAGCGTTATTTTTGTACAAATCTGGAATTTACACACTTCCCTTGCATATTTATGTCCCACTAGTTCAGCCTTATTCCAGCCTTATTTTTGTACAAAGCTGTACTTCCCTTGCATTTTGATGCATATGTCCACTTCAGCCTTGCATTTTTGTACATATTTCCAATAGTTCAACGAAGGAAGAAGGCTGGAGTCAGACAAGAAATGAGAAAATGTGCGCAACAATGCAAAACAAGTAGCCTAAGCCTTTCCGTGCGTGCTTTTCCTACGCAAGCCGTGTTCCAGCTTTGTCCCAACCTTATCTCAGCCTTTGTTCAGCCTCACGTTGGCTTTCTGTTGGCTTCATTTTTTCAAAACAAAAAGCATGCGCTTGGCGCTTTCTTGCGGTGATGCCCGGCAACCCTGCTAGTTTCAGCTGTTCTGCGTCCTCAATTCAGGCCATTTTTGCCCTCAACAATTGAGCTCAGGCCGTTCGTGGCCTTTAACAATTCAGGCAGCTTTTGCGCGGGGCAAAGCTTGCAGCTTTTCTATTTTGAGCGCTGTCCTGGCGCGTCTTTGCGTTGTTAGAGTTCGATCGCCGTATTAAATTATGTTGGCCAAATTTTCGCATTAGGTTGCAAAATGTTGGCCGCATATCACGCAAGTGCATGATTTCATCTTTCCGCATGTTCACTATTTGGGCCTTCTTTTTGGCGCTGTTTCGCCCATTTTGTGAGCTTGCCTTGCTTTCCGACGAATAATTCCGAGGGATCCAGCAAAACAAGCAGAAAGCAATGATACACCATTTTCGGGGTTTCTTCAGCAACCACAACCTGGACCACTCGAGTAGAAACTATAACAATCACTAGCTGCAACATCAGCGCGTTGGCTGACTTTTCCCAAGCTGACCGCAACAAATTCCAAGCGTCAAACTGAAGAGTGAACTGGAGGTACTACGCTCACATGAGAAAAGCTGCCGTTTCTTGGTCGACGGGATGAAAGTGGCAAGCGGCAACGTTTCTGTTTCTTTGAGGGCGGGCGGGAGGATCTAGCTGCGACACAGCCGAGAATCGAATCGAACACTGGGGAGGACGTGTCAAAACGTCAAAACACGCATTGAGTTCTGACGCCTTTTTCAAAGGCGGCTCAAAGGTACCTTCTTGGTCCACCAAGCCGTTGAAGGAAGCCTGGCTTGACAACTTGTCATAGAAAGACACACGTGACAGTGAGTCTCAAAGCTTACTGGGTTCCAAATGCGGACGCCTGAAGGCGCGTTTTTGTGGCTTGCACATTGTGATGGTTGGGTAGCACGGTGCTCAGTCAACTATGGGTGTTGGTTTGGGAACATCACTCATGTCGCCATCCTCCTGCTGAGGACAAGTTCGATCGCTGCAAGTTGGCAACTGTTTTTTGACTTCACTAGGCAGTCCTTCGGGGGGCTATGAAACGGCAAGAGCTCTTGCCGCCTTTGTCAGTCATGCGTTCCTCTCAGTTCGAGAAGGGTTTCCAAAGTCCATTTTATTGGTCTGCAAATCAAATGTCACCCCCTTTGCCCAGATGAAACGAGTTTATCGCAAGACCGCCAACTCCACCTTTGAACTTGACTTGTCTATCATTGAATTGGTGTGATGGAACTGGGACTGCCGCGAGTGAGGCTGCCGTGAGTTAGAGTGGCTCAGCCGGCAATCGTGGTAACCTTGTCACTGGTAGGGCTTGCGCTTGAGCCATGTCATCTGTGGGCCGTCTGAGCGACGAGAGCTCCAGCCAGAATGCGCAGCCCGGATCGACTCAGTCGGACTCAGTCAGCGCCGGTGAATCTCCACACAGCAGAGTTCAGACCGAACCGACTCAATCGGACCCAGCCAGCGGCGGTGAATCGCCATGCAGTCGAAATCTCAGGCGAATGTTCAGCGCCCTGAAAGTCGAATCTCGTTTCATCGACTTGGAGGACTCGCCTGCGGCGGAGCCTGTCAATGGCAACATCGATGACAGCGTGGCAATGACACCGACGCCGAAGCCAAGCGTTTCTGCGCGTGCCAGCAACCAGGATGACTTTACTACTCCGAGCCCGCACAAGCGGCTCACGACTCCGCCCCGCCTCATGCGTGGCAAGAAACGCGGCAAGGCAGGCTTCTTAAAGATAAACGAAAGACTTATTTGGCACAATGTCAAGACAGAATGCCCCGTTTGTTCCTTTGTTTTAGCCTTTTCCATTGCTTCTTACTGAGCAACATTGCTCAAGTTGAAATGCTCTCGCGTCATTTGGGGGTTGATCAAAAGGCTTGTGTCAAAGGTCCGCAAAACCCCAATATGGCACCCCATGTCATCCCCAGTCCAGGCCTCTCGTCCTGACGATGCTGATGAGCATGATGAGCCGGCAGCATGTGGAACTCCTGGTAGTCCTGCGGCGTTGACCCCGCTTGCCAAGAGGCTGAGACAATTTCTTTAGGCCCCATGTACAGTTTCATGTGTGGTCTAAAGCTCTGGAGTGAATTGTATTGGGGAGGACGATCACCGGGCTTTGACCAAAAACATGATGTGCGGCATTCTAGGTTTTACTGTTACCAACGTGTGTCAGTGTGCTCTCAAGCGCGCTCAAACGCGGAGTGAGTGAAAAGTGGTGGCCGCTTGGTCTTCTGTCAGAATTGCAGGAAGTAGCGCAATCTTGGCACTCACCTACCTACTCACTCAGCCGCTTTCCCAACTGGCTAAGGTGCTCAAGAAGGTTTTTGCGGAGCAGCTCGACGGATCGTCCCCCTGGAGGCCCGCTTACCAACCGAATACGCCAGACATCACAGCTCTGCGCCAGGCCAAAGATTTCCAAAAAGGAGTCCAACCTCTTCTTTGCTGGGGCCCCAACTCTCAGCCTGGTTTTCTATGAGTCTAAAACCAGGTTTTTGAATCAGGGCTTCAAAGAAACCAAAGACTTTCTTGAAGCAGACTGCAACGTTTCCCAGCGACTACAAACGACCAAGAGAAAAGACATTTTGGCCTCGTGGACGGTTTTCTGAGATCCTGAATATTCTGGTTAAACTCACGGAAAACATTGGGGCCAGAAGCATAATGCAGTTCCGTGTTGCATCCCAGGTGATTCTGCGCACCATCAACCATATGATGCGTGTCACGACTGGCTGCGATCTTGGTGCCTTCAAAGTCGAAGAGGATGAGCTGCTGCTGCCTGGGCGTAGCCTGCGGGACGCTGTCGTGCGTGATGTTCCAAACATGCGGACACTTGGGCGGAACTCAAGCATGTAATTCTCGCAACAAGTCTAAGCCTTTGACCAATCTGCCTTGCGGTAGTTGTTGAACATGTTTGTGAGGATTCTCAAATTTGTGGCAGACGACGAGGGCTGCCAGTGGAAGGCGGTCCACTACATGATGGACATCACCAAGTTGGGGGTGAGGGGCGTGGGTGAAAGCGAATGCTGCCATCCGAGCTGGAATAGCTTTCGCAAAGCGATTGGCAAAGCAGGCCTGACGTGTGCAATGATGAAGTTGGTCCTCTGTTGCAGCTTGCCGCCTACCGAAGTGAACATCACTTAAACTTAAGCTACCGGCAAACCAAAATTTGCCACATCCAAGGCAATTTCGACCACGGTGCTTGGAAGAGCGGCGACCGGCTAGAAGCCAAGAAGGAATCGTTCGACGATTACCTTCGTAACCAGCCGAGGGAGTATTTCTCCCTTTTCAGCGAGCGCGTAGCTCATGATCGCATGGAAAGCTACGACGCTGAGGTGGATCCTGGCGAGACACTCGCAGACTGGATGAGCACCCGTGCTCTCCGGTCCAGAGGGGTCTACGAACCTTGTCGTGGAATTGCATTTTTCCAGACGTGAAAGCGTTTACTTACGCTTATGAGCACCCGCGCTCTCCGGTCCAGAAGGGTCTACGAATCTTGTCGTGGAATTGCATTTTTCAGGCGTGAAAGCGTTTACTTACGCTTATGAGCACCCGCGCTCTCCGGTCCAGAAGGGTCTACCAATCTTGTCGTGGAATTGCATTTTTTCAGGCGTGAACGCGTTTACTTACGCTTATGAGCACCCGCGCTCTCCGGTCCAGAATCTTGTCGTGGAATTGGATTTTTCCAGGCGTGCAAGCGTTAACCTACGCTATCATACTCGGTTGCCATGCGGCCAAGTGGCATCTGAGACTTGGGGGCCATTCTGGCCCTCATCCTTTCGCGCGGTTTGCTCGAGAGAGGGACTTGCTTTGCCTTCTTTATGGTCACTGTACACTTACAGGTTATACCCGCAAAACAATCCTACCACACTTCCATATACACTCCATCCACCATTGACCGCTGGGGTCTGCAGGATTTTGCCACACAAAGCAGTGACAAAGAACATCCACAACAAGTTCAAACTTCCGCGAAACCATTTACCAGTCTTGCTTTGCATTGAGTGGCACCACGCTCATTTGACACGATCAGTTCCCATGTTTGTTTTGAGCTCGCAGGCAGAAGTTTGTCTCGTTTAGGGTTATGTTTGTTTTATTCATTTGGCGCTGGTCTACACAATTCGTTGCTTCTTTTGCCCTAATTACCTTGTTTCCTTGGTTTCTTCTGGTTTCTTACCTGAAACAAAGAGTGTCAGACTTAGTGTAGTTTGGACCCTGGAGGCCAAGACAAAGGCGTGGTTTGGCATCTTGGCCTGCTTGCGGGACTTGTCCTTCGATTGGACAATTCAGGAGGAAGCTTTGCACGCTTTGAAGTTGATGTTGGACACTCGGTGCTGCAAAGTACAGGGGTTCTTTCCCTCAGAAACAAGCAGATGTAATATCTCTCAATCTGGAACCCTTTCAAAAGCATTCGCCAGCGGACCCAATGATTTTAACATTTTGACAGTTGAGCAAACACTGTATTCACGGCCCAGGAACGGCATTCCGGCTCGCCTGAGCCAGATGAGGAGCACGACGAGGAGGAACAACAGGAGGTCGAAGAACCCCGCACAAAGACTGCGCCTGGGATGGTTTGAAATTAGTTTTCGGTTTGGCAGTTGGGAGGAGTTGGGCCCTCACAGTGAACTGCAATCTAAATAGCTAAGTAACCGCGTGGACCGTCGCTGTGATTTTTTGCGAGCAATGCCGGATGGAGAAATTTGGGCGGTGTTGGTTGCGGGTTTGCAGTCACGGGACAAACGGAACTGAGTGAAGCTCATGGTTAAGCTACTAGTCCTGGGCTCAAAACCGTTGATGCCAATGGAATCCGGGAATCTTTCAGCAGTTGAGCCTTGTCTACTTGTTTAGGGCTTCGTTTTGACAAACTGTGTTTGATTGCATAGGTCGCTGCCTGAAACAGGTTTGCCTGAAACAGGTCGCTCCCTCAAACAGGTTTGAAAATCACGATTCATAGAACATTTGGGAAACCCAAGCGGGAGTCGCGCAATCTAGCTCAGGAGCTTCTCAAAATGTACAACAAGGACGGACCTACTTCCATGGTCGCTGGCTTCATGGCAGACAGGTCCTTGCAGAGCATCGCGCGCATGTTGTTTGTCATAGCGCAGCCCATGGAGCAGGCGTACTACGACACGCTGTCGCGACTCCAGGAAGGATGGCCGGGTCAGGCAGATTGGGCAAGCAAGCGCGCGATGGGCTCCTGGTGGACAACTGTGTGGCGCATTCTTCAGACGCTTCAGACTCCTGAGCTGCACGATCGCCTTTGCATGATGATGTCGTTAGGCAAACAGCTGCCTCCGGACGAGCTGCCCGAGTGGGCAAAACCAGAGCACCACCTCTTGCTGAAAGCCTTTGCGTTCGCAACTGCTCTTGCCGAGAATGTGTTCTGGAGCAACGCTCAGTTTTGGCTCTCCATACCGGCACTTATCGCTTCGCTGCTGAGTCGCAACCGTGCGTTCAAGCGAAGAGCGCTGCAGCAAATGCGACGCCTGGTTTGCGCGGTTGAGGCGCTTGAGCAACACCAGCAGCGCAATCCGCACAACAAGGAGAAAACCTGCCAACGTGTTCAAACGCCATGTTTCAGACTGCTAGGTTAGGTGGCTAGCGAAATGACCCTGTTCTTATGTGATTGTGAACCCCACCTGCCGCAGATGATCAACGTCACTGCGCCCTAGGTACTTGGAATTTGGGAAGCAAACCTTCTCCGGAAAAATTGTTGAGTTAACTCCTCAACCATTGGGGCTTTGAGATGAACGGCAACATATCAGTTAATGGGTGAAGCGCGTCACCATCAAAATCGGGGAATGGGTTAGAATCTTGCCCTGAAACATTTACGGTGTCTTTCAGAGTTAGCCAGCCCACGCGTTAGGAGCTGGAGGCTTTGCTCGCTGATTTGGGGTGGCAGCAGCAGCAGATGGCGCGGGAGTGCATGGCGCTCCTTTTGCAGGGCGACTTTCAGGAGACCTTGCCACTGAGGCAGCCCCTCGGCAAACCCCAAACCTCTTTTTTGTTGTTCCTGAACGTACTATCCCTATCTGACACTCCCTGACTCAACCACCCTTCACACCACCAGTTTTCAAAAAAATAACGTGGTTCCCGGAGTGTAAAATGCTTATGATACCCCTCTAAGACTCTATCCTTGGTCAGCTCCAACTCAATTGGCGAAACATGTGGTGTATCTCAGCATGGCTACTCGCCTGTACACCGGGACGCCAAGCACCAAGGACAACCTAGAGAATTGTTTCGCGTATCTTCATAGGAAGGCAGCTACGCATGCGACGAACAACAAGATGGCGGATTTTGTCAAATACGCTTATTGTGTGTTGTCACCCTACTGCGAGACGGGCGGATGCCCGCAAATTTTGCCCTCCAGAGAGGATGTGACGTCGGTCTTGAGCCCAGAAGGGCTGGAGGAACGGCAATGGGCCAACAGCCGCTTTTTTGCACCACAGAAAACACTCCTGCCCAACCCCGAAGCCGTCCACAGCGCGGCGCACATCTTCCAGACTGGCTGGCGCAAAGCAGGGACCCTGAGTCAGCAGCGATCCGCTGCTGCAGCCGCATTCCTGATGGAAGACTCTGCCAGCACGTGGGTCCACGCAGACCGAAGCTGGCTTGGAGCCTTTTTTGTCGCTGGAGAAGTGTATGCCAGGCGCAGCACCGGAGCCTTTTTCTTTTCGCTTGGCTTCAGAAAATGGTCTACAGCTGGGTATCCCTTGAAGAAAATCACGGTCGAGGGGCAGGACAGGATCGTAGGGTTTTTCTTTTACGCGCTGCGCGCTTCCCGCCTTGGCCACTCAAAGAAAATAAGAGCAACGCGGGCTTGAGCAAATGGCAATGCGACAAGGTGGCTGGAATGAGCTGTGGGCTCGTGCGCTTTGGTGAGCTGACAACTCGGAAGCTTGCGAAAGCGGCGGAAATGCGGGTGGCTGGCCAGCCTCCTTTTTAGATCATAGGGATGGCCCCCCCTCCCCCCCATCCACGACCCAACCTTCAATATCGCTATGGGTTTTAGAAAGAAACGTGTTGAACCCATACCCCTGAACTGTTTCAATTAAAGGGCTGTTTGGTTTGACACTTGTACGTAAATCAATTGAATTCGATATATACATATATATACATATATTTCGCTGAGTGGTTTGTGTTTATTTTGACAGCTCCCCACACGTTCAACCCATTTGTGTTTATGGCAACCAGGACTTCTTCACCTTCGCAGAGCCCCGGTATGCTGATGTGCCAATCAATGACCTGGAATGGATGTACAATTTCACCCTGGACTCGGGGGCTTGCGATTGGGAGCACGTCCCCGTTCGGAAGCTTGTGCGAGGATTGGTCCCGGCCTCCTTGGCAAACGCTGGCATCTTCTTCGCTCTGCAAAGGGTCGGTGTCAACCAGGCCTTAGTCCCAGCTGCAGTGAAAGCAGGAGTGTGGCTGTCAGCCCAACACTTGAAATGGCTTTGCGCTTCTTTGGAAGTGAACCCACCAAACAAAGGATCTGGGCGGTCAGGAGCCCTGCTGAAAGCAGACTGGGCACGTGCTTTGGTTCAGCACCTTTTCCCGGAGGAGTCACCAGAGAACATCAAAAAGATGATCGGCTCACTCTCTTTCAACTCACAAAAGAAATTGAACACAGAAGAAAAGCGGGTGCTCGACTTGGTGGCCCAGCTAGATGAGGAGAACAGAGAATGTCCAGAGTTCAAGAAGATGGCCAAGTTGGCCAAGGCGCAGGTCAAAGAGGAGGAGCGACAACAAACCGAACATGAGGTCCGCGAGAGGGTCAAAGCAGAGGCGCAGGAGAAGCGACAGCAAGAAGCAGAGCAGCAGCAAGAAGCAGACCGACAGCAACAAGAACTGGAAGCAGCACGCCGCGCTGCTACAGAGGAAGTTCCGGCAGTTGAGATTGTTGAGGCGTCCCCTGCTTCAGCGGCCCGTTCCGGAGCCCGAAAAGCAAGCGAAACCCCTGCCACGCTCAAGAGCGTCTTGAAGATTCCGGAAATGTCCGACATTGGCCTCAATAGGGACCCATCTTCTTATGGCTACAGGGCTACCTTCCCTGCAAGCACTTTGTCCCCCTTGGCAAGCTTTAGTCTTCAACGTGTTTAATGCTTTTGGCAGGGGTTATTTCGCACACAAAAAATTGAAATGGAATAGGGGCAACGTTTCTTTGCCGCCCTTGCCATTACTCTGCGTATCGGATAAGAGACCCTAATGAACACCGCGTACAGTAAGAGTAGGCCCAAATATTCTTCGACCCGAGTAACTCTGAAAGACCCAACAAGCCATCCGTCAGACGTACGGCATCCCACTTTGAAACCATGTGAGAGCCATTGTTTATTGTTTGTTTGTTTGTTTGTTTGTTTGTTTGGTTGTTTGTTTGTTTGTTTTTCAAGGGAACCATCATTCTTGGAGGGGTTTTTTGGATGCGGTGCAGTGGTGCAGGATTTCGTCCATCACAGTAGCTTAGGCTATTCGGCGGTGACCACCCAGAAGAACTTCCAACGCAAATGGCCTACCCGATTCTGTCCCACGGAGCTTGATGCGCTTGACGCTGTGGTGGAATTCATCTACACCAAGTACAACGAGAAGCATAAAAAAGATACTGGTCTAAAGCAGCTCACACGGCGCCCTGCCTTTACAGTATTTTCTTTGGTTGCGGCGGGGGGCTTGTTACTTTTCCTCTTCCCAGAAAATGGAAGATATTTGTTCGCTACGCCTCCTTTGCCCCCAGTACTTGCAGGCCAAGCCGCGCGCAGCTCGAACAGTATCTTGAGGACTCGGCTGCCACTGCCAAAGGCAGCGTCGCCGCCAAAGGCAGCGATGGAGCAAGCAGTAGTGAGGCGATGCCACAGCCGGCCGCCAAGCGCAGCAAGGCGTGAAGCAAGAGAAAAGCGCAGCAAAGGGCAAAAGCGCAAAGGTAGGGAACAAGTCAAAGGATAAGTGGTTGGCTAGACTTTGCGGAGCAGATTTACCCTACGCAGAGCTTGGGAGCGCTCGAACTCAAACAAGCGTGTATTTGTCGCGGTACGCATCGGATTTCAAAGGGGTGTCAAAGGCTGCTTCTGCCTTGCGCTGCAAAGCAACGTGGCTGGCGACCAAAATAAGGTCCAAATAAGGCCAAAATCAACAAATCTTGGAGATCCTGAGCAGCATTCAGAATAAGGCTGAAATAAGGCCGAAATCGCAAATGAAGGCCAAACGGTATGTGTTGGTGGAAACCAGCAAATTAAGGCTGAAATACACTATTTGGCCTTATTCGTTTGGGGGGGGGGGTTCGTGGGGGGGGGGCAATGGGATTCTGTGAGGGTCTCGCCACCGAGGCCTTCGTCGCAGCGCAGCTTGCTAGCCGGAACGGGGGCCAAGGCCGACGCGACGCCTCGTACGCCACGAACGCCGCGCTCTCAGCCAGCGAGACCACGCTCCAGAGCGCCCTTGACGCAATCCTCGCGGAGCTCGCCGCCCTGCAGCTTTCCGGCAGCGGCGGAGTTGTTAACGCGCCGGCCTGGGCGGGCTTCACTACTTGGGAGCTCGTTCGCGGAAGCAACGTCGTTCGCAACCTGCATCTGGAGGCTCCTCTCTCTGCTGCGCTGGCGACGACACGCTGAGCATCATGGCAGACTGTTACTCCGTCGCAGGGGCGGACGCGGCCCTCGCGGCTGCGCTGCTGGCCTACTACACCTCCTCACAAGTGGACGCGTTGTTGGTCGACTACCGAACGGGCACGGCGCAGGACGCGGAGACTACCGGCGCCATTTCGGCCGCGCTGCTGGCCTACTACACCTCGACGCAAGTGGACGCCCTGTTGGCCGACTACCGCACGGCAAGCGCACAGGACACACAGACGCAGGCGGCCATCACGGGCGCGCCTCTGGCCTACAGGACGGGCGTTTTCACGACCAACCAAATCACCTCGGCGCTGGTGGCGTACCGCTCGGCCGCCGACCAGGACACGGCAACGGCCTCGAGCATCGCAGCCGCGCTGCTCAGCTACTACACCATCACAGTTCAAACTTACCAAGCAACAGCCAATGCAAAATGGTCTACAGACTGCGTTGCATTCATACATGCATATCGGAGGCATCTACAATTTGCCAAACCATAAGCAAACATATATATATATATATATCGAATATGTATATCATTTAAGCACTGGGGTTTGTTTTCCAACTGGCGGAAGCTGTAGAGCTTGGGTTTGTCAGCCAAACACAAGCACAGCTGTATCACCCCCGCATTGGGAAGCAAAGCTGCACAAGAAGCGGAAAAAGCAAATTGCTCCTGTGTGAAAGCGGCTCTTCTGCAAAAAGGCCTGCCTGAGCCCACACGTTAGCGTGGCGGGCTCAAGGAAAGGCGAGGCCAGTGCCTGAAAAAGGTTCCTCATCCGCTGGCGGCTCCATCGGAGCGGATTCGTAAAAGTCAGCAATAACATAGCGCTCCAGACGGTCAAGCTGCGCAGAGTGTGCATGTAGCTGCCAGCCAGTCACATGTGCCAGCGAAGCAATACTGTCGTCCGAATGTTGCCTGGCGGACCGCAAAGCATCAAGGGCCAGCCCGCATTGGTCCACATCATCGCGCAACTGCAGACAGATGTTGCGAAGCTCCTGTAGCCGCATGTCCAGGACAAGAAGGACTTCATGTCGCATAGAGACACGAGCTCGTCCCATCTGCCACAATAGAAAGCCATATGCCAAAGCGGCTGAAATGAGGAACCCGCAAAGAAAAGGAGGCGCGGCACTGCCGACTGGACTGGACGCGTCCGCATTGGTCCCAATGCACTGTTGGACATCAGTCACGTCCAAGCTGATGAGAAATCCCACCATCCTCTTAGAGGATGATTGAAAGCAACGCACGAATGACGGACCCGCTTGCAAACCACTTTGAAAAGTAAAGCCTCAAAGAAAAGCATGCCCCATTCAACAAAGGGAAGTGGAGGGAGGGGTTGAAAATGCAAGCTGGTCCAGTAAGCATGTATGCTGGCTGTTGCTTGAGCCCAAGTGGCGTATGTTGTCAAGTTGAAACAACAGTGAGTAAACACACTGACCGTTCAAACTTACCAAGCAACAGCCAATGCAAAATGGTCTACAGACTGCATTGCATTCATACATGCATATCGGAGGCATCTACAATTTGCCAAACCATAAGCAAACATATATATATCGAATATGTATATCATTTAAGCACTGGGGTTTGTTTTCCAACTGGCGGAAGCTGTAGAGCTTGGGTTTGTCAGCCAAACACAAGCACAGCTGTATCACCCCCTTGAAGACTGCCAGAGGAAAGCAAACCTCGCCCATGGAACCCCAAATGAAACTGTGAGGTTTGGCAAATTCAAGCAAAGCAATGCTACCGAAAAGAGCTACATGAAAAAGTCGTTCATCGGTATACGCCATGGGAGACGCACCTCCGCTGGCCAAAGCGTCACTGCTTGGCGTCGAAACCACAGCTGCTCAAGGTCCAAAAAAAAACGCCGACTAAGCGGGAAGCGGTCGGGCAGCTCCGACGGCTTACCTGACCACCGGCAAAGCATATCCGCATCCTCGTTGAGTTCACCCGGTATGTGCGATACATCCAAGGACACGCCCGAATAGCAGCTGAAAAGTGAAAGCCTCTGAACAAACATGTTGAGGGGATACTTGTTTGTGTAAAGGCGATTGCTGGCGCTCTCTGCTCGTTGTCGGACCACGATTTGATACGCACACGCATCCGGCCGCCTGGCAGCGCCGCTGTCAGGACATGTAGCAAAGCAATCTGCGCTAGGGTTTTGAAGGATGCAATGTAGGATTGCGCCTTGTCAGAGAGTTCCAGCCCCGTGAAGGAGAGGTCGCGCACTGACCATTTTTCGCTGAACCAGAGAAAGCCCTTGCTAGGAATTTCCAGGAAACCACCAATTGCGAAGTAGTCCTGCTCGGCCATGGCGTCTGCAGCCGCTGTGGCCGGGAGGATGAAGGGGTCCGACATGGGAACCATCAAGGGTGGGTCCTGTGCCCAGCGAAGCCAGTATCGAAGCAAGCTGCGGCTCGGGTATGACAACTTGCGCCTGGAGTTGGCAGGATCAGCCACACGTATCCATATTCGGCGCTCAGTGACTGGGACAAGCTTGATGTCCGCAAGAGAAGAAATCTGCTTATGGCGCGCCGAAAGAAGCTTGGCCCCCTTAGAAATAGCAGTACCTCGTGGAGAAGAGGTAAAAAGCAGGTCAGGTGCAAGGTGATGGATCAGTTCCGGCCAATCGCCGTGCGCGATACTGTAGTTGGTGCTGAGGGGCGTGTGAAGGTCAGAATAAAGCGAACACATCCATGGCCGCGAAGCTGGGTACAGCTGGCACAACCACTGGAGTAAGCCAATGACCGGGTGAAGGTCCTGCTTCAAGATGCGCTCACTAGACAGGAGACGCTGTATGCCCAAGCAAAGCTTCTGGCGCTTGCTCGCAGGCACCGACACCGACCCTGCTCGAAAGTGAAAGGACCAGCCAATCCAGTCAATACTATGTCCAATCTGAACTTTGCGCCAGGAAATAGGGAAGCCAAAGACATCGCAAAAAGCCAGGGTGACTGTAGCAACCATATGCACCGCCTGCTCGTCCGTGGAACCAATGAGGTCGTCCACATACATGCCAAGCATGTGTCGAATCCAAATTAGCATGTGAAGGACGCGGACAAGGAAAGCGCCGACCCTGGCAAACCATAGGGCTGAAAAGACCGCCCCAAATGGGCAGACCTTGTAAAAGTAATACCTGGCAGGCTGTCCTGGAAGTTCAGTGCGAAGGCCTAGAAGACCGCGATCCTGCTCACGCACCCGCACGGTTTTGTGCGCCGCCTCGATGTCAATTGAGAACGCGCTGGCATTGCCGGCGAACTCGCGCATGGGAAAGGAATGACGCACTGATGAAAGCATAGGAAGAGAGTAGGACTCGTTAATCGTGCAAGCATCATTGGTGCCACAAACGGTGTTGTCGACTACCAGCCGAGGTTTACGTCCTTCCGCGCTGACAACATTCACTCTTCCGACGGCTAAGCGTTCCCCCCAACGCTCCTGAGCGTGTGCTAGATCTGGGACCTCTTCCAGCCAGCCCGACTCCACCTCCTGCTGAATCAGCTCCGCCAGGAGGG